TCAAATGCGACTAGGCCACACATACTTTACTCTCTCCGCAGGATATGCTGGTGCTCCCCTCCAACAGGTAGCATCAGCTTTGTACTGCTGACATGTACATGTATAGTTTGTTCTCTTCTAAGTTCCTAAGTTACACTCTCATTCCCTCTGACATTCTCCCACCCCCTGCAGCAAGGTTTTAAACTGCAGGTTTCAACTCTTACATAGGAAATACAAAAAGGAAAAAAGTACAGAAAATATCAAAAGGCACCACACATAGTAATGAGTGTTATTACAGGCACTCTTGTTTCAGCTGTGCATACTTAGGTACACAGGGGATCTAGGCTGTAATGTTAAATGTATTTCTTACATTTGATTCATGATACAAAACATTGAAAAACCACTGTCTCCACAGTACCTATCCTATAACAATGGCTGATACTCTGAATACTGAGTTAAAAATTTTGATGAATATGAAATAATCCATGTATTGGAATATCAAAGTATCCTATTTGAAACATAGGTTCTTTCAACCAATCTGAACCAAAGTGTATAGATTCTGACATATGTGAAGCTTCAGGGTGGATGGGGTCAGGGTGAATGATACAAAGGGTCTAAAGTATTATTTTATCATGATAGATTTTCTTCCAGATAACTAAAATATATTCATATTTAAGATGATTAAATATACATTGATTTTGGAAAGCTTTACTCATTCAGTGAAACCATCTCATGATTACAATGTTCTCTATCTTTAAAATATAGAGTAATTCTACTATGAATAAAAGGAACTTTCAGAGATACCAAGAAAGCCTTTGTTCTGCTTCTTCCTTTACCTAAAACAACTATGTCATTTTGATATCCTCATCTCTACCATCTGTAAAATTCCAATTAATCTTCCAAAGTTTATTTAAAGGCCATTCCATGGAAACTTTTATATTTTTCCTTAAACTCAATTTTTCCTCTTTCTCTCCTCTTTTATCCTCTCTATTCCCAAACATGGTCCCTTTTCTGAATCTCCATTGTTGGAAACTTCCTTTCATATTTATTTATATATTTGTCTCATTCCCCTACTAAACAACAATATGCATAACTCATGTTTTGTTCATCTTTGTATCCCCTACAGCAACATTAAAAGGTCTTATACTTTAAATATGGTCAGTAAAGATTGGTGAAATAAAGAAATGAAAGCAACAGCTAGCACGCTAACAGCCATGGTCCTTATTTTAAGGACCCTGAAGAATGGTTTATATGTCTAGCAGCTGGCCCAAAGCCGATGGACCACAGGAGAAAGCAGAAGGAGGCTGAACAGAGGCCCTATTCCTTTGGACATCTGCCCAGTAAACTTTCTGGACATTCAGCTCTACCAAATGAACCTCCAGACCTGGATACAGAATCTCAAGTTATCCACTCTGGCTTCAAAGTTGAATTAGAGGTGCTGATTGGGGGTGCACATTTCAATGTTAATGTAAGGCAGAAATGAAAATCCACCTGTACACTCACACTCAAAAGATCATCAGAAAAATAAGATATAGAGCAGGTAATCCTTGAATTATCAATTGTCTATACTGATTATACTCAATAATACTAAGCTTTATCTTTCTTATACATCTTTAGCATTTGAGTTAATACTGTGACCAGTAGAATAAACAAACGGGCTTACACACAGTCACAACCAATGAAATGCAATTTGGAAAATGATATCAACCAATTTTAAAAGGTTAGGGATTTAAAGTAAGACTCATTAAGCTGTACTTCTTCTGCCTTCAAATAAAAGTATCTTCCTATTATTAATTAAAAGAAGAAATTGTTTGATGGTTATTATTTAGAATTCACATCTTCTTTCATAAGTCAATTCACAATTAATAGGCATAATTTCCTAAATCATGATATTTTGTTTTAAGATTTTTAATTTTAAATCAGTAGCTTAATTTAAGGTTCTGCCCTTCTTTTTCTTTGAAATTTCAACAGATCTTTAACTTCCAGTCCATCGAAGTCTGCTTTGTAATTAATTTCAAAAGCACCTTCATACACTGGGAGGCTCTACCGTATTCCAGAAAATGCACTAGAGCTAAACTCAAAGAAGTAGGCTTTGAAGTTAATTTATAGTTCAAATATTACTCCCCAATTGTTAGCTGTATGGCCAGGGGGCAGGTGTTCTGATGTCCCTATCCTCAGGTTCTCCATCTGTAAAATGGGACTAATAATTTATTTTGTGTAAGGTTCCTATAGCAAACAAATGGACTACTACATTCTATGTACTTATGACAGTAAATTAATAAATAATAGACACCTTGTAAAAGTAAGAATAATAAAGACACATAGTAAATACTAAGTGCTCTATAAATTTTAGTTATTAAAAGTCTACTGTCATTTGTTTGATAGTTTCAGTCATCTAACAATACACACCTTCTATTTATTTCTTCATGTTATTGTTATTCTTTATTTCATCCCACCACTTATCACTCCTGAAATCATTATAAGATTCAAATAAAGAAAACAATGGATATGAAAATATCAAACACATAGAAAATACTTAAGTATTAGTTATTTTTTATCACCTATAAGCTTAAGAATAAACCATAAACTTAAATTTTTAAATCAATCATTAACATTGAGTTTGAAACACCAAGCCAAAGTTGACCCATTACTGAGAAAATGTATGGCCATTTTAGAAATGCTCACTGAAGGAGCTCAGTTTATCTTTAATTCACCGAAAACATGTACGCCCATTCTTTATCTACAGATTGAGAAATACTAAAGGCAAACTGTTCTTTTATATTGTAATCAAGAAAATCTGCAGGCTTTCTTAAGCCAAAATTTTATACACTGATTAAAATCTGATTCCATGTATGGCAGCTTTTTAAAAAATCCTTAATTCTTCCAAAAAAATGAAAATTTTTTAATACAAATTTCAAGCCAAATCAGCAGCCACTCTCTAACAGTGCTAGAGGTAACTCAACAGTGAACTCAGGGTAGGAAGGAGAGCGCCAGAAATATATCTGGTAATCTCAAAAAATTACTTATAAAACTCATGAAAGGGTGCTATTTGACCAAGCAAGGAGACAAGCTGCATAAAAATATGCCAAAACAGTAAGCTCTTCCCTTTGCTAAAAAAATAAAATAAAAAAGCAGGCTCGGCACCAGTGGCTCACACCTGTAATCCTAGCTACTCAGGAAGCTGAGATCTAAGGATCATGGTTCAAAGCCAGCCTGGGCAGGAAAATCCGTGACTCTTATCTCCAGTTAATCACCAGAAAACGTGAAGTGGTGCTGTGGTTCAAGTGGCAGAGCACTAGCCTTGAGCTCAAGAGCTGAGGGACAGCACCCAGGCCCAGAGTTCAAGCTCCAGGACCAACAAAAGAAAAGAAAAGAAAAAGTCATTCATTTTTAAAGTACATTTTTATCTGGAAACATATTGAATTTGTGCCAGAAACCAACATTTCTAAATGTAAACCTGTAAAATAATAGGTATCTGTAAATGAAAGGCTGAAATAACCCTAGGAGCAGCAACACAGTAATTAGCAACTTTTATAGAGTAATAACATGTTCCATATTCTTTCTACACTGGTTCTTTGAAGTTTCCAATGTAATATATACAAGTTTTATTAGATGAGGGCCCATCCTTGTGTGTTTTATAGGCACCAGTAATATGCAGAGCAAGCTATACTTACTCACCACTGGCTCTTTTATAAGAAACTGCTCGATAATGTATTAGCTTTGTGTCTAGTTTATTTGGTTACACCTGTCCTTAGGAAAATAAAAGTCACTGGAGGCCTAAATCACCGAATATCTCCACATGTCCACATATCATCTATATGAGTCATAAATCATAAAGCATTTAGTTTTCAAATTGAACACTGCATATTCATGTGCACACCACTTGCAGTTTTAGACACATGTGAACTCTTTACTGATTAAAAAAAAAAGCTCAGTTCTACAATATGCGATCACCAGAGGCAGAACAGAGTGCAGTTAACATGCTTGTTCTAGCAGATGTTCGTCCCCGTAAATATTAAACATAACGCAAGTTCCTCCAGGAATATGAAGGCAATAATTTCACCACCTGAATAGGACTGGTTGGAAACGTTTAAGAGGTTTGTGGGGGGGGAGGGAGCGAAAAGAGGGGTAGGAAGAGAAAGGCTGAAGTAGCCAATGGGATTTTTAAGACACCTGCAACTGCAACTGGGATTCAGCTGCTTTTACCTTAGATTCACCTACAGCAGCCCCTTCCTGTGAGATGAGCGAGAAATAGAACCCAGAGTGCACCCCAAGCTGTGAGCGTGACATAAAGGGACACTCGGGGTGCCAGAGGTGGAGGGGTGGAGAGGAGGTGGAGTACATCTGTGGAGAGGTGTGACCCTCTAGGAAACGTGTCTGCCTGGGCCAAGGCCTCTGGAACCCCGCACGGAGAAACGTTTGCCCCCCCCAGCCCTGCCCTAGGGGGTGTTCACTTCTCTTCTCCATCTCGGGTGGGAGTGGGTGGGAACAGGCAGGGAGGGGACTGGAGCATCCTCTCAGGGCACTTTGGCAGCCCCAACTCCAGGGGGGTCGCCGGGGCAAAGCCAGAGACTCTGGGACAACGAGAAGGGAAGGAAGAGGAGGGAAGAGAGCTGAGAGTGGCTAGGAGGTGTGTGGGGGGGGGGGGGAGGTCGGTCCTCGGGCATTAGTGATACGTCCTTTAAAAAACCAAAAATCCTCGCTCTCCCCTCCACAGCCGCGCTGGTCCCTCGGCACCCAGATCGTCAGCCCGGGGGCTGGAGCGGGCAGCACCGCGGGGAGGGGACCGGAGAGGAGGACACACAGACGGAAAGGCTGCTGTGCGTCCATCCAGCCGGGGGGGGGGAGGGCAGGAAGCAGGCCCGGCGCCCCCGACCCACCCCACCCCCACGGAGGCCGGCTGCCCCGGCGCCCCCCCCCCCCCCCGCCCAGCCCCAGGTGAGGGCGCGCGGGCCGCCGCGACTCCCCGCGCCGCGCCGCGCAGCTCCCGCCGGCCCGGAGCGGTCAGCACGAGGACTTACCACAGCGACTCGAGGTCCCATTCCTGGAGCAGGGCTAAGTCGAAGCTGTCCATGGTGGGAGGTGTCGGTGTCAGCGCCGCCGCCGCCGCCGCTGCTGCCGCCGCCGCCGCCGCCGCGAAGCTCCGGCCGCCCGCGCGCTGCGAGGAGAGACGCCGGCTGAAGGTGCATCCCGGCCGCGCCCGAGCCACCGCCCGCCCGCCTCGAGACCCCGAGCCGGGGCTCCCACAGCCCCCAGCCCCCGAGTCCGCACCGGCCCACAGGGCAGCGGCTGCCGCGCACTCACCCGCTCGCCGGATCGCGCGCAGGCACACTCACGAGAGAGCGGCGAGCTCGCCGCGCCGCCTCGCCCCCCTCCTCGGCCGGCGCCCGCCCCTCCTCCGCCTCCGCCCCTCCTCCCTCCCTCGCGGCGGCCGGGCCCGCTGCAGCCGCCGCCGCCGCCGCCGCGGTGCTCCGCGCTCGCCCGCCCGCCCGCCTCTTTCTCCTCCGGGAGGCGCGTGTGCGCGGGCGAGGCCGAGGCGCGCGCGCCGCGAACCCCCGCGCCGCGCCCGCCCCGCGCGTCCCTGCGCTCCCCACGCTGCTACCCGAGGTCCCGCGGTGCTCGCAGGCCACGCGTCAGGCTTGTCCTTCTCCCGGGTCCTCGGACTTCCGCGGCCCTCTTGACCCTCCCTCAGCCCAGGCGCAGCCCGGGGGAGAGAAGGGCAAAGCTGAGGCGCCCAGGGCCGGGGAGGGGGGGATGCTGAGCCGTGCCCGGCCTGCCGCAGCCCCCGCCCGGCTCCGCCCGGCCCCGTCCCGGCGGCACGCACTTCTCTGGCCTCCTGAATCCGCCGGACCCTGCTCCGCGCCTCCGCCGGCCGACGGTGTGCGCGAGCTGCACACCTCGGGTGGGTGCAGGGAAATCCCTGGCCGCCCCAGGCGCGCTGAGAGTTAACCGTGCAGCCCACGGCAGCGCCGTAAACAAATCGTTTCAAATATCTAGTCAGTAAGTTAAATGAAATAAAGAGGAAGCAGGAAGGGAAACCTCTTCCAAGAAGACTTGCACTCAGCTGCAGTTTGGCCTACAGTGGGGGTGGGGTCCCCACTGTTCCCCAGCTGGCCGATCCCTGGAAACCAACCTCCTTTCTTTTTATGTCTTACAGGGAAGGCCTCTGGGTTTCCACTACAAACTTCCCGCCGCCTCTCTTGTCTGGAGAGTGGCAGATTGTCAGCTGGAAGGATGATAGAGTATCATCGTGGCTGCTACTTATACCAGGTCCTTGTTAGAATGACTTCCCTAGTTTTAGAGAAAGCGTTTTCTTTCCTTCCCACTCATTGTTATACACATGCTGAGAGTCAAGTCTTTGAGACCTGTTTCTCTGCTGCTAGCCTAAAACGGAGAGCCCATCCTTAGTGCTCTCTGACTTTCTGAATCTCTTGACCTCAGCTCAGGGAGCCTCACTCGAATGTCCCAGAATTCCTTGAGATAGTAGCAAGGAGCAAGACAGTTATGCCTCACCGCCTGCACCAAACCCACATTCCCTCCCTGAGAGAGGCCTTCCAAGCGCTCTGCCCCTTTGTTCCTTTTCTGGACACGAAGAGCAACTGCCTAGAGCTGCCAGAAAATTTAGAACCTTGGGTAGAATTCACAGGATTCGTGTAAGGTCAAACCTAGTAGCCCCCACCCCTCATCCCCACCCCCTTCCTCACCTCATCACTTCTGAAGAAAGATTAACAAAGTTCTGGACACTGGTACAAGCCCAAGAAGCCAATGAGAATTCTTTCCTAGTTGAGATTGGATTGTATCACGCTCAGCACAACCTTCCCCCCTTGCCTGTCCCCTCCCCCCCCCCCCCCCGCACCATCCCAGCTCCAGAGTAGTCCTTCCTTTATTAACATCCATAACTAATGTGCAAAATGTAAAGCACTAAATTAAGGCAGAATCTGCATCACATAGTCGGGAGAACGAGGTGGAATTGCTATTTTATATGCTGACAACTTCCTCATCCTGAAACACTTCCCTCATTAGTTGAAGGTAGTAACAAGGCTACAAAAGAACAAAGGGAATATGAATACAGAAAAAAAAAAAAAGTACAGGTGTGAGGGGCTGGCTTCCAAAATCTCCGTCTGCAGCATATTTGGAGGGGTGGGGGCGGAGTCTGCCTTCCTGCTATCTCCTTAGCATAAGCCTTGTTGGAAATGTTTGCTCTGGCAAAAGTGAGCTGTAGACATCACATGGAGACAGCCTTCCCAGGAACAAAGGCTGGGGGTGGAGGGTGGAGGAGAGAGCTAGAGGAACAGCCCTGTCTGGAAGAACTGCAAGTTCCAAGGCCTGAAATGTGTCCTGTTTCTTGGGCTCCTGTCTGCAGCTGGGGAGCTTCTCCAGAAAAGAGACCTCCAGCTTCTCATGGGGATCTGGCTTCCCTTCCCTTCCCACCACATCTGTTTATACAAAGGAGGCTGATGAAGAACAAGCTGACCTATGTTTACAGGGGCCCCATGCAGGGCTTGAAGCTCAGGATACAGTTTTGCCCTCACCAAGGAGGCTGAAGAGAAATAGAGGTCTTGAAAATGAAAGGCAGTAGCAGGATATAGAGCTAGTAGAGGGGCTTATTCAAAAAAAAAAGCTATGGAATAATGAGTAGATTTATATTTGAATTCAAACTCTGGGGCCATATATTAATTTATGGTTATACTTGAGTCTAAAGCGATTTCACTGTGGGTATTTTGAAATGTTTCTTCAGGAATAACTGTTATTTTCTGTTTGAGGCTTTTAACTTGGTGATGTTTTCACTAATAGTTTTATTTTCAGTGGTATGTGGTGTGTGTGTGTGTGTGTGTGTGTGTGTGTGTGTGTGTGTGTGTGAATAGCATCAATTTGGAGAATGGGGACACTAGTAATTGTTGTAGATACTGTTTTATACTAAGCTCTGTGATGGAAATAAATCTAAATTAATAGTTTTGACAAGTGAAATGTAGATCAGTTAATGAGATTCTCAATGGGAAGAAGTTATCATCATCATCATCATCATTATTATATTTTATTAAGATATTCTCATTATCTTTCAGCCTCTAGGTGCATGAACCAGATTTGGCAAGCACTGAATCTAGTTGTCAAAATATTAAATTCTCAATGCAAAGGAAAAAGGAGAGGAGAGGAAAGAGGAAAGGAGAGGGAAAAAGGGGGCTTGGACTTCCTCGAATTAGAATTCCAGAGGTGATCATTTTTTTTTGTAATGGAATGAGACTGCCTAAATCAGAAATAAAAATTAGTGTTTCCAATGCAGCTGTGGTAGCTTTTGTTCATCCTACCGACCTTATGACCCGAGGGGCTTTTCTCCCTCAGGGAGATACAGCCTGACAACTGGAGCTGAATCAAACCACCCAGCTTGGACAGGAGAAGCTGCTGAATGAAGGAGCTACTTGGGCTTCCTGGGTAGATTGGTTTGTTTGCATAGGCTAAATTCATGATATAAAATGCTTAAGAAATGAATCCTTCCCAATTTAGGGTGGGGCATATGAATGTATTTACCAAAGACCCTCTCATTCTGTCCATCTAGAATGGGAAGTCTCCTATATATACCCAGAAGAAAATCTGTAGCATCTCACTAACATCTTCTTTGGGATACAAATTAAGAGAAACTTGGCATGAATTGATTAATTCATGATTTATTTTGAATATATGGCTGCAGTTCAGGAGTGGCTTTTGTAAACAGGTAGGGTTCCCCCCAGGCCAATCCTGTTATTCCTCTAGAAAAACATGTAGGGCCCACGGTCAGCTCTGCAGGTGGTATACCAAAAGACCCATATCCACCAACCCCTCCTTCATCTCCAGCAACAACACTCTCCCTTCCTGCTCAACAAAGCGACAGAAGTGCTCTGTTTCTCCTTTCAGAGGCTGCTTGGGTGTTTATAACTGTATCTAGGGATTGTCTGCTAAACCCTATAGGCTTTCTCCTTGCAAATTATATGCTAATATGTGGAGCCCCAAGACAGCAGGATTTTAAATCACCCAAGAGCTACACTGTCCTCAGGCCTTTCCTTCTCTCTCCACAGGTATCTCAGAGTGGCTCTAGCTTGGGATCTGAGGTGCCTTTCTATTTTTTTTTTTTCATCATTCTCCAGGTCCCGAGCAGATGGTGCGGCTGTGCTAGCTGTCATCACTCCTCCTATGTTTCCATGGAAACATGGGGCATAGGGACCATCTCTGCCTTGGGCTCTCTGACAGTATCCTCTGGCTGAGAACTTCAACACTCTGGCCCCTCCTCCTTGCATGTATGCCTGCTGTCCTGGAGCCTTGGAGAACATTCTGAGACCCAGTAAGCCAGTGTTAGTTCAGAGATCCTCAAAGGACATACTCCCTGAAAATGGTTGTAAACTGTCTGGAAAGGGTAGGGGGGAGAAAGGCCAATAGTTTAGCCTGTTGTCTAAAGCCAATCTAAGATGACAACATATTTGGACAATCTGTCCCCTCAGCCAGCTTCCATAATGGCTCATTATTGCCCAGATGTCAAAATCGATGCTCCTAAGGTTTGGTCTGCTTATTAATTGAATGTGAGTATGTTACTCAGGCTTTTACACTTTACTGATATTCTACCACTAGAGAAATGTGCATTCCTTTTTTAAAAAAAAATCAGGGTTTCCCTAAGGAATGCGTTTTCCTCAAAGTTTCCAACATCCTCCTCCCTACATAATTCATTTATATGGCCACTAAGACATTAATTAGATTCAGAAGTCCGTGGAAACAGCAGAGCTAGGAGGGGTCAGAGGGCAGGCAGGGCAAAGAAAAGAGAGGAAAAATGACCCCAGGAAGGGAGGGAGGAAGTGAAGGGAAATTTTTCATGCCCTTCAAGTACCAAACAAGACAAAGATAATTTCAAATTGTGGTCAACTACCATAACATTGTTTAGACAACTATGGTATTGCCAAATTAAAAAATCCTTTATTTAAAAAAAAGAATTGGGCATAACGAGGTGTACATATCTTTGATAATTTTGTTTCTTTTTTTGGGGGGGGGGGTTCCGGTCGTGGGGCCTGAACTCTGGGCCTGGGCGCTGTCCCTCAGCTCTTCAGCTCAAGGCTAGCGCTCTACCACTTGAGCCACAACACCACTTCCGGCTTTTTTTTCTTTTTGCT